CCTGGACCTCCACCTGCTTCTGCCTCCCAAGTGCTGGGATTAAAGGTGTGCGCTGCTGCTGCTGCTGCCGCCGCCGCCGCCCGGCTTATATTCTCTCTTTTATCTACCATAAACTTTTCCCTCCACCACACCTAGGAGCAGCCATGTCCTTTCTTTTCCTTTTGATTTCTCTTTTTTCATCCATTCATGAGCCTGTGGGGGCATTTCATATTCAAGCCACAACAGGATTGTGAAGAATTAGCCAGAGCTGAGACAGGAGCACACATGTTCTCAGCTACACAAGAGACAAACAAGAGAACCGTTGAGCCCAGGAATTTCAGACCAGCCTGAGCAACATAGCAAGACCTCATCTCTTTAAAAAAAAAAAAAAAATTAATTAATTAAAACATTGTTTAAAAGAATTAGCCTCCTGATAAGGTTAAAATCTGGACTGGAAACATCCATGTGAAATGGCTGTTCTTGATGGCTGGAGAGCGGGGACCGAGGCCCATGTTCTTCTCGGGATAGGACAAGCTCATGGAGGTCTGCAGACGCTGCTCAGTGGTCTGAACTTAGGGCTAGCAGGAGTGGGAAGGCGCTTGTGTCCACAGGAGTTCCCAGTTTCCGTGTGGTTTTTAGAATTTGACATCACCAGAAGACCATGATCTAGAAACCCCTTGAGTCCACTTCCTGAAAAACAGCCCGAAAACACTTCTGTCTCTTCCCTGTGCTTGAAACCTTTGTCCACACTGCTCCGGCTCAGACCAGTTCACACACCATCGGCCAGTTTCGACCAGCTTCTACCAGTTTCTGCTTGATGCTGTAAACTGCTGCAGCGTGGTGGTGTACATGTGTGATCTCAGCTCGGGGGGCGGGAGGAGCCAACCAACTGGGGCTATGCTGGAGACCCTGGAGAGAGAAGGGTGGGGGAGAAAGAGGGGCAGGAAAGGGAGAGAAGAAATCCTTGCAGGATTCTAGTGGACCATCCCAGAGGTATCTGCAGACACCGGTCAGCAAAGACCCACCAAGGACTGTCATCAAAGCGTACTATGAGACCATGAAGGAGTAAATATTTTTTAAAAGACTAACAAGTCCCTCCACATCATCGCCTTCTTTTCTTTTTTTTTTTTTTTAAACATTTTATTTATGTGTCTATTTATTTTGGAGACAAGGTCTCACTATGTATCCTTGGCTATACTGGAACTCGCTATTTAAACAGACTGGCCTCTGGGCTGAGAAAGACCCTGGCTGTAAATAAATAATTAAATGTATGTCCCACTCCACAATAATATTTTTTTTCTTTTAAAAAGAGATTTATTTATTTTACATGTATGAATTTTTTGCCTGTATTGTCTTTACCACACTGTGTGCATGCATGCCCAGAAGAGGGCGCCAGCTCCCCTGGGGCTAGAGTTAATGGATGGTTGTGAGCCACCTTACAGGTGCTGAAACCTGGGTCCTCTGTAAGAGCAGACAGTGCTCTTAACCGCTGAGCCATCCCTCCAGCCCCTCCATTCCATAATAATATATTTTTGTTCTACTTTTCTTTGCTTTCTGATTTTATTTAATGAATATGTATTTTTTTAATTAAAATACACACACATATTCACACCTTGTCATTGAAAAACAGGCCAACCACAATCTATGCAGAACCTATGAAAAAATAAGGTCATTTTCTCCCACTATTCCGAAACGGGTTCTGCTGGGAGCCTTCCAGTGGACAGTGAGTGACCAGCGGCCAGCAATGGCTCCTTTGAGCTGGCCCTAAGACTACAACAGGAGAATGGTGTCTCGTTGATGGATAGTCCTGATTTTGCTACCGACCTTACTTCTTTGGAGAATGCCTCACTGTGCCTGCTTCCTCTTCCAGCGGAGCGGAAGCCCCCCCTCTTCAACATGAACGCCATGAGCGCCCTCTACCACATCGCCCAGAATGACTCCCCCACGCTACAGTCCAGGGAATGGTAAGACATCACCAAGAAACTCCCTGTGGGTGCCTGACATTCTCATGCAAGTACATTTTATAGATCTGCCTTAAAATACCATTGCATTCTTCCATCACAGCAATTGTAAGAATGGATGCCCCACAAACAGTGTACCTTTGTATACACGCACGCACGCACGCATGCACGAACATGCCCCCACCTCCCTCCCACACCTCATCCCTCAGGTCCTGCTCATCACATCTCATCTGAAGTTTTTAGCAGCTGTGAGATGCCCTGGCTGGTGTCATTGTTTGTCTCTGTGTCTATCCGAACGGGCTGGGACAGAACACATTACCCTCTATTCAGAAGATGTGTTGTTGTTGGCCCAAAACCATGGCATATTTGTAACTACTGAGGCCACAAGAGTTACAGAGAATGGGCCATCTAACCAGAGTGGACCCAAAGAAGTCTCCAAGAGAGGACTTAGTTTTATTCAGAAAGTGTGTTTCCAGGTCCCCTGTCCCGATGGGCTTTCGTTTCTATTCCTTAGAGGTTGTGGATGGCAGAGGGGTTAGCAGAGTGGTAATGAAGAATGCAGACTGGACGTTAGGAATGGTGTTACCTTTGAGGGGGGGAACGCATATTAAAGTGTTACACATAAGTATAGTGTTTGTATTTTCTGATCTGTTATGTGATTTGACCTATCCTTGCTTGTGTGTATGACTGCGTTGACTAGCTTGGGACTGTGTCCACCTCATTATCCAAAGGAATTAATTTTCAATGCCATAACTTGAAAATGATCCAGGTCTCCTGATATTTCAAAATGTCTTATGAAAAGGAATCTCCTGGCTGGGAGATGGCCCAGTCAGCAAAGTCTTGGCTGTGCATGCAAGAGGCTATCAGTTATGTCTCCAGAACCAATGCAAAAGCTGGGCCCCCAAATCCCAATTTGGGGAGATGGAGAGGGAGGAATGTCTGGGGCTCACTGCCCAGCCAGTCTAACCAAATCAGTGAGCTCCAGGTTCAGGGAGAGACCCTGCCTCAAACATCTAAGGTGGAGAGTGACTGTAAGAGACACTTCATGTCAGCCTGTGGCCTCTACACACACACACACACACACACAGAGTCCCAAGTTCCAAGTGTTCTCTCCCACGCACTTTGCCTTCTGTATGCTGTGTCCCTCAGCCCCTGACTGCTCTCCTTGATGTGTTCACTCACACAGGACCGACTCCTTCAGGAGATTCGTCGATTACTGCTTGCAAAAGATACCTCAGGAAAGACCAGCCGCGGTGGAACTGTTACGGGTAACTTTTCCCGTTTCCATCTGGGGAGGGGCCATGAGGTCTGGCCACAGGGCAAAGAGTTACCCCATGGCTGAGCACTGTGATACACTGGCGTATGGCGTGCTCCCTGGTTACAACCCAATGATGGAAATAGGCATAAAAAATGGCAAGGTTGTCAGGATCAGCATCCTTCCTGCCGTTCCCCCAGCCCACCCCTGTGGGTAGTGTTTTCCTCCCCGCCCCTCTGTGTTGCCTGAGTCCAGTCACTTTCTCCTCCCCGCTCTGCTTGCCATTCGGGGTTTTTCTGACTGAACTCGAGTGAGCTCTCACGATGATCTGCCAACATCACGGATGCCCACTCCGCCAACCTCAGTTAGGTTGGTGACAAATCCAGGCAGTGAGGATGTAGGGTGACCGTCTAAAACCAGATACGTGGGTCATACAGATGAACTGCAAGAGTGTCCCATAACTGTACTCAAGAGGCCATGGTGGCAGGCCTGTGATCTCACCACATGCCCAGGCTGATCTTGGGATCCTCCTGCCTCCACTTCCCCAGCACTGGTGTTAACTGGAGCATGCTGTCATCACGCCCAGCTCTGGAGGTAGAGGCAGGAGCATCAGTGGTTCCTGCCAGCCTTGGCTGCATGGGAGCCTGTCTCCAACAGCAGCAGAAAGTTTCCATTCTGTGATATTTTCCTTTTCTTTTCTTTGACTCCTGACCTTTTCTTTAATGAATTGGTTTGATTTGAACCTCACAGTCCTGAGCCTCTCTTTGCTTGTGTATGTATGTTGGTTTTATGTGATGATGCTGTGGTCCATCAGCAGGCGTGTAGTGGATGGGAATCCATCATGGTGTAAACATTTCCTGCCTGGCATAGGATAATGCAGACCTCTACCCTTTTATGTGTGTATGTTTATTAGTCCTGTTGCTCATTTCCTCCTGAGAATGGATCCTCTTCCGTGCAGTTTGGTTTGTTGGTTTGTTTATGAGAAAGACCCAGAAGGGTTGTATTCCTCAAATGTGTCAGGCCTAAAACAGTGGCCACTGTGGGCCTGGAGAAATGGCTCAGCAGGTCAGAGTGCTGGTTGTTCTTGTAGAGGACCGAGTTCAGTTCCCACCATCCACATGACGCTCACAGCCATCTGTGGCTCCAGTTCCAGGGGCTCCAGTGCCCCCTTGTGGCCTCTGCAGGCGCTGCACACAAATGTAGGGCACAGACTGTATGCTGGCAGGCAAACACCCCAACACAAAATAAGTTGTAAAAGTTCACACATATGAAATAAAAATAAATACATTTTTGGCTGGGGAGATGACCCTGTGGTAAGAGCACTTAAGCATCAGGACCTGAGTTCTGATCCCAGCACCTACATGAACCTGTATCCTCAGTGTTGTTGGGGGGCAGAGACAGGAAGGATGCTAATGCTTTCTGGCCACCAACCTGGCTCCATGTTTAGTGAGAGATGCTGCCTCAAAGGAATAATACAGGGAGTGGTGGAGCAAGACACCCAACATCCTCCACACCTGTGCTCACACACATAACACACACACACACACACACACACACACACACACACACACACACACATTGACACACAAAATAATGTTTTCCCAGTACTGGGGATTTTTGTGTGACACTACTCCTGTGAAGACCTGAACAGCAGTCTGCTCACTGCAGATTAGGATCTGAGGACAGACCAAAGTCCAACGTGGTGAACTGTGAGTTTTGCTGGGCTACAGGAATATGGGTGAGGGGCTACTGACAGGAGCAGAAATGACTCCAAGACAGCTGCATCACCAAAGCCCACCCCAGCACAAGTGACAGCTCACCAAAGCTGGACATCTAGAGCATACTGCACAGCCAGCAGGCAACTCAGCAGGTATCTCAGCTGGTCTGAGAGTGACCCTCAGCTGTCCTTACTGTTTATATATGCTTCGGGAGGGAAAGCCTAATGAATCTGGTCAGTTTTAGGGACTTCCTGAAGCTTTTGAGTTGTTTCCTTCCTGAGCTTAAGGAGCTTCCCTGTAGGATGGAGTGTTTCATCTCTGCTTAGAACACGCTGCTGTTCTACCTTTCTGTAAACAAGCTTGGAAGGCTTTAATCTAGGAGGAAGCAGCTACACAAAGAGTATTGATCCCAGGGCCTGATGCATGCTGGGAAAGTGGGAGCTGTGCACTTACACCTCCTTACACCCTGCCCCACAGTGAGCATCAACAGGTATGACAGCCCTCAGGAAGGAGAAGGCAGATCTTAGGTTGGAATGCATACCACCAGATCGCCCTGGAGTTTACCCCCTCACAGACCATTTGTGAGCATATGAATTGCACAGCTTAGAGTGATTTTTTTTAAAAAAAAAATGTTTCTGGTTGTGGTTTGGGTGTTTTTGTCTTTTTGTTCTGGATTTTTTTATAGAATTTTTTTCAACTTCATTGGGGTTGTTTTCATTTGGTTTGGAGGTTTTGAGCAGTGCTGGAGGTCAAAGCCAGGGCCTCACCCCTGTAAGGCCAGCACTGTGCCAACAGAGCTGCACACACACACACACACACACACACACACTCACTCACTCACCCGCCCCTCTGGCTGTAGTTTTAAGTTTTATTTCTCATCACTTGGAGAAGTCTCTTCCCTAAGCTGCAATGCTGTTTCTAGGGCCTCTCTGTGATCTTTGCCATTTGTCTGTCTGCTGTTGATTTTCTCCCTTACTCGTGTATAATGAGTCTTGCAGACATCTTTCTTACTTTTACTTTAGCTTTTTTTTTTTTTTTTTTTTTTTTTGGTTTTTCGAGACAGGGTTTCTCTGTGTAACTTTGCGCCTTTCCTGAAACTCACTTGGTAGCCCAGGCTGGCCTCGAACTCACAGAGATCCGCCTGCCTCTGCCTCCCGAGTGTTGGGATTAAAGGCGTGTGCCACCACCGCCTGGCCAGCATTCTTTTTAAAATTACATTGTTTTTAATTGAAATAAAAGTAATTCCATCACTTTCTCTATATCCTCCCAGTTTCCTTCCCTCCAACCCCTCTCGTGTTCCCCAATCTCAAGTTGATAGCCTTTTATGTACACAAATATATAAAAACACACCCTGCAGAGTCCATTTTTGTTGGTGGTGTAGTTTCCAGGCTGATTATTCTGCATTCGACAACCACGAATGGGCTCATCCCTGGGAGAGTCTAAGTCTCCTTTCCCAGCAGTCAACTGTGGCCTGTAGTTCTTTGTGCAGGGGTGAGACCTCGTGACAAATGTCTCTCTTCCATGGTTGCATGTCCATCGCTATTGCCATTGTTCTGGTCATGTTTCTGCAGCCTGATTGATTCACAGCCGACCTCGTGATTCTGACTCTCACAATCTTCCCACCCCCTCCTCCATGGTATTCCCTGAGCCATGGCTGCAGGAGCTGTGGTGTGGATGTACATGTTGGGGCTGGGCTTCCCATATCTATTGACGTCTGCATGTGTCCAGTCGTGCTTTTCTGTGTTGGTCTCCATTTATAGTTAAGAGAGGCTTCTCTGATGAGGGATGGTAGCCGCATTTATCTGGGGGTATAAAGATAAGATTTAGAATGTGGTAAGGAGTTAGGCTGATCTGGCAAAGTGTCGGCAGCAGATTCTGTTCTAAGGTCCATGGCTTCATCAGCCTCAGGACTATGGCCAGGTTTCTAGCGACAGGCTATGATGTGTCCCTCCTTTGAGTCCAATTAGACAACTCTCGGTTGCCACCGACATGTGAGCACCACTTCTTACACCATAAAGGTGTAATACCCTGCCACGCTGGTAATTGTCATGGTTCATAGGTGTTAGAGCTGGGTAAGGTTGTTTAATTGTTTCCCTCCCTTGGCGGCTTACACAGTAATTTCTGGAACCACGGGAGCTAGGACACAGGACAGAGACAATCAGGTCAGTTCCAGCTCAAATCACAGGATTCCTGTGTCCTGAGTGTGTGGTTTCTTCAGCAATAGAGGTCTACCCTTGAGAGACAAGGTTACCTCAACCCTTGAGAGGCAACCTAGGCTACACCTATAATCTATATTGTTTGGGGCATCACTTAGCCTGCCCTGACCAATCATCTCAAAGAAGGTTTCTTGTGCCTGGACTGGGACCTTTGCTGGTCCCTCCATCAACGTTAGAAATCAGTAGGCATTTCTATCTACTAACAGCAGACAGGCTGAGAAAGAGGGCACGGGTACACTTCTTTAAAATAACATTGGAAAAGGATTTTTGAATAAACCTAACCAAGGATGTAAAAGACCTTGATAATGAAAACTTCAGCTCTCAGGACTAGAGATGGCTCAGCAGTTAAGAGCAGGATCCGCAGGAGCTGGGCACGGTGGCTCACGTCTTTAATCCCAGCACTCTGGAGGCAGAGTCAGGTGGATTTCTGAGTTCGAGGCCAGCCTGGGCTACAGAGTGAGTTCCAGGACAACCAGGACCACACAGAGAAACTCTGTCTTGAAAAATCAAAACAAAAAAAGAGCACTGGCTGCTCTTCTAGAGGACCTGGGTTGATCCCCAGCATCCACATGGTGGCTCACAACTGTCTGTGACTCAGTCCCCTACACATAAAATAAAGGAAAAAAAGAAAGAAAACTTCAAATCTCTGAAGAAAGAGATTAAGAAAGACACTGGAAAATGGAAAGACTTCCCATGTTCATGGGTTGGTAGAATTAATATTGTGAAAATGACCATCCTATCAAAATGATGGACAGATTCAATGAAATCCCAATCAAAGTACCTAGGCATTCTCCACAAAAATAGGGAAAAAAAAATCCTGAAATTCAGATGGAACCAGAAAAGACCACTGATAGCCAAAGCAGTCCTGAGCAAAAGTAAAAATTCTGGCGCAACTGCTATTCAAGAGGCCTTCAGCCTCCTCTGTACTGAAGACTGCCTTGCATGAATTTTGAAAAGGCACGAGGTAAGAATCTCACTTTTTCCTCCAGCTGGCTATCTACGTATTCCTGAATATTTTTCAATAACCCTTCTTTCCTTCATATTTTCTTCCTGACATTAAAATGTCACTTTTGCATTGACTAAATATAGAACTAAGGCAAAAATTATTGAAATGTTTAAAAACCTCAATGTGACGTGATAAACACTGACGAAATAAACAAAGGCAACCTGAGAAAAACTAAGGCCAGGAAGTTACCCGTGCATTAATTTTCCTATTTTTCAGATTCAAACATAGTGTTTTGATACAGGTGACCCGCTCTCTTAAGCCTTGTATGATATCTTCTCTTCATTTTTTGAGAAGTTGTGTTGCATTGACATATTTATTTAGAGAGAGCGTATGTGTGCACATGAGCATGTGTGTCCCGCACACATGTCACCTGCTCTCCGTTCCCCTTCCACCGTGTGGGTCCAGCTGTCACACTCAGGTCACCATCGGTCTTGGTGGCAATCACCTATACCCACTGAGCCATCTCGCCAGCCCTCTCCTTAATTTAATTAAATCTATTTACTTATTGATTTATTTACTTATTGAGGATCACATTTGTACCCAGGTTTTTTCATATTTTTTTAATTTTTGGAATTAAAATATGATTACATAACTTTCCCTCTTCCCTTCCCTCCTTCCAACCCCCCCCCCCATACCACCCCACCCCACTTCCAGGGCTTTCTCTCAAATTCATGGCTCTCATTTATTTTATTTTTTTTTCTCCTTAATTTTAAAGGGAGGTTTAGGAATAGATAACACTGGCAGTGAAAAAAATTATAACTAAAATGAAGCAATTATTTTATTTCATTCTCTTCTAATTCTGTTAAATTCAAGTATATCTTTAGCTTTGTAGATTATACTTAAATTAGAATCCATGATATGGTTCCCATTTGAAATTTTTTTTATTAAAAGTCTTTGTTCTGGGGTGGGGGGAATTGTTAAGACCTAAGTTGACATCCTATAATTTTACAATATTTTCTTCTGGATGATGGAAATTGGAATTCGTTTATTTTCCTTTAAGCATTTTTTTCTATATTATTTGAGTAGTTAAACATTGTAAAGAACAATAAAGTTATTATTTTGTTGTTGTTTGACACAGGGTCTCGATATAGAGCTTTGCCTGGCCAGGGACTCACTCTGTAGACCAGGCTCTTCCTGCCTCTGCCTCCCAAGTGCTAGGATTACAAGCATGAGCCACCCATGGTTTACAGATTATTCTCTCTTTTTTTTTTTTTTTAATTTATTTATTTATTATGTATACAGCATATATGCCTGCAGGCCAGAAGAGGGCACCAGATCTCATTACAGATGGTTGTGAGCCACCATGTGGTTGCTGGGAATTGAACTCATGACCTCTGGAAGAGCAGTCAGTGCTCTTAACCTCTGAGCCATCTCTCCAGCCCCAGATTATTCTCTTAAAGGGGTCTGGACCTTTCGACTGCAGGGGTGCAGAGAGCAACAGGGGTGTGGGGGTGCAGGCAAGGAATATGAGCACAACACAGGTGTGGCAGCGGCAGGACCAGGGCCAGCCATCCTCTAGAGTGTTCTGTGCACTGGCTAGGAGGACGAGAAGAAAGGACTGGGTCTGGAATAAAAGCAGGAACCCAGGGCAGCAGGCTTTCGCCAGGAGGCAGAGAGATATACTTGGGCGTTGAGTACTTCCACGTTTCAGAAGGTGTGCACAGGGGAGGGCTGAGTCCTCTCCTAGTATGAGGTCTCGAATGTCGAGAACAGGGGTGTCCCTCCCAACCCAAAGTAGTGTGTGACTCAGCAATGTCACTCTGAGGCCCAGCCTCTCTATCCGCTTTCTCCACAGCTCGTGGCCTCCATCTTCTTAGGTGGAAAATGACAGCCCCAGCCCCAGGACTCAATCCTGATTCCAGACCAGGAAGGACACAGGGCTAAAGCCAAAACACCTGTGTTTTTTGTTTTTTGTTTTTTGGGTTTTTGTTGTTGTTGTTGTTGTTGTTGTTGTTTGTTTGTTTTTTGTTTTTTTCCTTACACGTCTTCCTTTTGATCTACAAAAGAAACCTCAGAGGCTTCTGCCTGCGTGTGCTGGGCTGCTGCTTGCTACCAATAGCAGCTGGGGTGGGTGCAGGTCCCTGGTCCTTTGCTTCTGCCTGTCCGGCCCTCTAGTGGAGGGCAGCCCTCGAAGGAACCCTGGCCTCTGATGGACTGCACCGCTGCCATGTTTTTATCCAAACTGTATGACCAGTGAGTGAGCCATGCGGTCTTCTTCATGCTGTGTCTGAAAAAAAGAGAAGGCAAAATATGCACAAGTCTGTTCTCCAAAAGCTGGTGAGAGGTAGAAGGCCAGGAGAATTGTGGCCGGGTATAGACCTCGTCCCACCTCAGCTTTGGAAGGGACAAATCTGTCTTTGTTACTTAAGGTTCTTGTCACTAGTTTTTTAAGGATTTTATTTATTTTATTTTATGTGTGTGGTGCCTCCATGTACGTATGTGCGCTATGCACATGCAGTACCCACAGAAGCCAGAAGAGGGCATTAGATCCCTGGAACTGGAGTTACAGACAGTTGTGGACCACCATGTGGGTGCTGGGAACTGAACTCAGGTCCTCTACAACAGTAGCCAATACTCCCAGCCACTAAGACGTCACTACAGCCCTAAGTTCTAGTGGTTTTTATTATATTATATTTATGATAAAGTAAATCTTAGGGAATAGCATCACCCCAGAGCAAAGGGAATGCTTATTAATTGATGTGACTATTATGGAAATCAGTGTACCATTTCCCCCAGAAAATAAGAAACAACTATAACAACAAAGGACTGTATCTGATCCAACATTCCCTCCTCCAGGTTCACATCTAAAAGAAATGGAATTCATTATCTTGTAAAGATGTCTGCATCCCATAATTACTATAGCACTACCTGTAGCAACCAAGGTGTTGGAAACAATCCCACATGTCCAATAGTGGGACAAAAGATAAGGGAAGCTGTGATCACACACACACACACACACACACACACACACACACACACACACACACACACAGAAACACAAACACAATACAATCGTTTTCACCCTGGGAATAGGAGTTCCCAGCCAGACATGGTACCAAAGCCTGTAAGCTCAACATTTGGGAGGTGGAGGCAGGAGATCAGAGGACTACATAGTGAGTTCAAGGCCAGCCTGGGCCACATTAGACCCTGTCTCAATTAAAGGAGGAGAGAAGATGGGAGAGAGAGAGAGAACCTATGGTATGTGATAACACGGATGAATCTAGGCAGCATTCTACAAGTCAGAGAAACCAGACATACAAAGGAAGGCCCCAAACAGCATTGTATACAAGTAGAATTGACACACTTTTTTAAAAATCAAAGATATAGGAAACAAGTAGAAAGATGGTTTCAGGGATGGAAATGAGAATTAGGGCTGATGAGAGGGCTCAGTAGGGGAAGGGGCTTGTCACCAAGACTGAAGACCTGAGTTCAGTTCCCAGGAGAGACCCGACTCTAACGGGTTGTCCTCTGACCTGGACACACATGTGTGTACACACATACAAATGAATATGTAGAAGAGAATTGGGGAGGTTGAAGTATTGGGCCCAGTGTTTTACTTCCGCAGTATAATGAATAGTAGTGAGACCTAAGGTCTGACCTGAAAACTGTAGATGCCATGCAAATTTTGACGGCAGTGGGTTTTAGGCACCTTTGCTACAGACACGAGAATGGGAAATGATGGTGTGGTAACTGCCTTCTGTTACTTCGTCATTTGCACCAAAGCATCACATTGTATACCATAAATATATATAATTAAAAAGAGAAAGTCTTTTAGACAAGGTCTCATGATGTATCTCTGGCTGGCCTGGAACTCACTGTGTAGACAGAGATCCCCTCACCTCTGCCTCCTAGTGCTGGCATTAAAAATTGTGCACTGCCCTGCTTAACAAAACAAAAACAAACAAAAAAGAAATCTTGTGGAGACTCCAGAGCTGAGTCTGCAAAGAGGAGCTTGGGACAGATTGTAGAAGCATTGTTATCTCTTTGTAAGGGGGAGTCCCCTTGAGGGACACCAGCCTCAAGATCACATTTATTTCTAAGGTCCGTGAACCTGTTCCCTCTTCCCTGTCTGTTTATGTGTATACATCGCTCATAAAGATAAGGCTTACTCACCATCAGTGTTTTCCTCCCCTGTCAATCAGCACGACTTCATTCGGAGGGAGCGGCCACCACGGGTCCTCATTGACCTCATACAGAGGACAAAAGATGCTGTCCGAGAGTTGGACAACCTGCAATACAGAAAAATGAAGAAAATCCTCTTCCAGGAGACTCGAAACGGACCCTTGAATGAGTCACAGGAAGAAGAAGAAGTAGGTCCCCCTGATTTCAGCTTCCCGAGTTGGTACAGGGAAAACATTTTGGAGGATGGGAACAGAATGGGTGCTCTCTCCCCTAAGAAACACTCGGGGTAATAGGGACACAAGTGCAGCAACTCTTGCTTAAGGTAGACTGTGAAAAGTGCTGGGGGTCCAGCCCCAGTATGGGGGGCAGGACACAGTGCTGGGTAGGAGTGAGGGTATAGTGAGTAGTACCCATTATCATACAGGCTCAATCATGTGTGAGCTGCAAAGTTCACTGCTGCCAAAGATCTCAAAGTGGCACTGGGCTTGCAATCTGTGTGTTCGACACAGAAAAGACCAACAGAGGTCCTATCCCACCTATAGCCAGTAGGCTAAAGGCAACTGAGCCATTCCCTTCCTTGACGAGGCTTACTGCAATTTGGAGTCCTTGTAAGATGGTATCCCAAAAGCAAATGGAACTTGAGTTTATAAATTTATAATTTTCAAAGCCAATCGAAAGGTATATAACTATTGAATTAAATTTACCATGCCCAATAGAATGGAAGATTAACTAACTGTGGTAGCTACTTTTGCTGCCAGGGTCTCCACTGTGCTAGCTGTAGTAGCCAATTATGAAATGGCAATCCCGGAAACAGTAGCAGCGGTGGCCGCCACTGCTATAACAGCAACAACAGCAGCGGCGATGTTAAATTCTCTTCTGGAGCGTGTGGGCATCCACTGGTATGGATACAGCTCCAGGCAGGGCACAGTGCTTGGTAGGAGTGAGGGTATAGTGGGATGGGATAGACATTCATGAATGGGCACAGCCCAAAATTTTAAATCTATTTTTATTTGAGAATTTCACACACACGTACAAAGCCTTCCAGTCGCATTCAGCCCTTGTTCCCCCTCCAGCTCTTTCAGGACCTTCCCCCCACCCCACCCTGTCTTAGTCAGGGTTTCTGTTGCTGAGAAGAGACACCATGACCCTGGCAACTCCTATAAAGGAAAACATTTAACTGGGGTGGCTCACTCACAATTCAGAGGTTTAGTCCATTATCATCATGGTGGGAAGCATGGCAGCATGCAGGCAGACACAGTGCTGGAAGTGAGAGTCATCACATCTTGATCCAAAAGCAGCAGGAAATGAACTGTCTCACTGGGCGTGGCCAGAGCATATGAGACCTCAAAGCCCACCTCCTCAGTGACACACTTCCCCCAACTAGACCACACCTACTCCAACAAGGCTACCTCTCCTAATAGTCCCCACTCCCTTTGGGTGCCATTTTCTTTCAAACCGCCATGGTCCACTCCCTGGCCCCCAAAGACTTGTAGCCATATCATAATCCAAAAATGCATTCAGTCCAAGTTCAAAAGTCCCCATAGTCCGTAACAGTCTCAAACTTATTTAAAAGTCTAAAGTTCAAAATCTCTTCTGAGAGTCATGGCAATCTCTTAACTGTAATTCCCTGTAAAATCAAAAATGAGATCACATACTTCCAACATATAATGGCACTGGATATACATTACCATTCCAAAACATAGGGAAGGGAGCATAGTGAGGAAATACTGGACCAAAGCAAGACAAAAACCAGCTGGGCAAACTCCAAACTCTGCATCTCCATGTCTGATGTCAAGAAGCTCTTCATATCTCCATCTCTGTTCAGCTTTGTTGACTACAACACACTTCTTTCTCTTGAGCTGGTTCCACTCCCTGATAGCAGCTCTCCTCAGCAGGTATCTTACGGCTCTGGCATCTCCAATATGGAATATGACGTGGAAGCAGACATCTTTAATCCCAGCACTAGGGAGGCAGAAGCAGGCTGATCTCTGTGCATTCAAGGCTAGCCTGGTCTACAGATCGAGTTCCAGGCCAGCCCTGGCTACATACTGAGACCCTGTCTTCAAAACAAAAAAAATGAAAAAGTGGTGTATTGCCTACCATTTTGCATGACTAAGTGAATGTTTGTATTCTCACGTCTACATAGCAATTTACTGAGTTCGTTTGTGTAGAGTGAGGTTGGAAAACAAGGCTTATCTGTACCTAGATTGACTTAGTGACATTTAATCTTGTGGGGGAAGAGCCTCTTCTGTGATGACTAACTGCTATATCCACACTGTTTCACCCCAGCCCGCTGTTAGTCTTTGGCCCAGTAGACATGCATACCAGTATTATCTAATAGATATTTTTCATGAGATCACAGAGGAAAGCATGGCAGACATGCATTGGGGAGGCAGAATTTAATTACCTACCTCTGACGGTACAATTCCTACCCCTGCCTCATATGCAGTTACTCACTAATAGCCTGCAGGGGAGCATACTGCTTGTCCCCTCTAAAGACCCTCTCCACCACACTCCAGTTTCAGGTGACAACTTCGAATATTGTAGAGATCATCAGTTTGGTGGCCAGCAATGTCTCTCTGGAGGACATTGGTATTCCTGAAAAGCCCACCTGGACTCATGACACATCCTGGGAACAATCCCATAGTGTCACGGTCATGTGTAGCAGGGGAATCCCTGGAATGGTAGCATTTCAAGTCTTTCATAAACAGAGTGGCCCTGGGGGAGGTACAGAAGTGAATATAAGATGTCCGGTCATAGTAGCGTGTCCCCAAAGATCTTCCATTAAAAAAAAAAATGATATGTGAGGAACTGGGGAGATGGCTGAGTTGATAAGTCCACTTACTGTGTAGGTATAAGGACCTAAACTCCATCCCCAGAACCCATATTTTAAAAAATCCAGCAGTCATGGTGCCTGCTTATAATCACAGCTCTGGGGAGGCAGAGACAGGCTAGGCCAGCCTAGCCTACTTGGTGAGATCCAACCAGTGAGAGACCCTGTCACAACATTCAAGGTAGATAGCTCTTTAGGAACAACACCCAGGGTTGACCTCTGTCTACAATGCACACACACACACACACACACACACACACACACACACACACACACTTGTTGATCTTTGCACACCAACAGAAAAGCAGCTCGCCGCTGCGGAATTGAGTATACTCAGTGGCCCGGTCAGTGAGTCGGCACTAGATCTCCAGGTGTTTGGTTTTTGTTTTTGTTTTAATGCCACTGCCCATTTTTACAGGACAGCGAACATGGAAGCAACCTGAGCAGAGAGGTGGACAGCCTGGGCAGCATCCACTCCATCCCCAGCGTGTCCGTGAGCACAGGCAGCCGGAGCAGCAGTGTGAACAGCATGCAGGAGGTCATGGATGAGAGCAGCCCCGAGCTCGTCTTGATGCAGGAGGATGAAGGCACTGTCAGCTCCGGCTCCTCCATGGTGCACAAGAAGGTAGGCATCCCAGGGCCCTCGCGGGCCAGGCTGGGTGGTCACAGCAAAGCCAGCTCAGGACACACTGCTTCCAGGTGGGTGGGCTTCCGCTTTGCGCCCAAAGCATGGGAAGAGAAGAGCATGAAGGACTTGAGGTAATGAGTTGACAGAAGACCATGTTGGCCACACCCTCTGTGGCTTTACCCCCTCCGGTTGCTCTGATGGCTGCCGGTAAAGAAATCCCAGTGGAGCACAGTGGTACAGGGTCTAGAATGCTAGACCCTGGAAGACTGAGGCAGGGGGATTACCACCGTTCAAGACTGCCCTGTGTTACATTGTGAGATGTAGGCCAGCCCAGGTTACACAGTGAAATCCTGTCTCAAGAAAGAAAGAAAAGAAGAGGAGAGGAGAGGAGAGGAGAGAAGAGAAGAGAAAAAAAAGAAAGAGAAAGAAAACAAACAAAAAGGATGGAGAGATGGCTCAGAGGTTAAAAGTACTGGTTGCTCTTCCAAAGGACGTGGGTTCAATTCTCAGCACCCACATAAATGGCTCACAACCATCTAACTCCAATCAGGTGGCTCTGACACCCTCTTCTGGCCTCCTCAGACACCAGACATGCAAAATGCATAGATATTTATGCAGGTAAAAAGCCTATTGACGCCCGGCGGCGGTGGTGGCACATGCCTTTAATCCCAGCATTCAGGAGGCAGAGGCAGGCGGATCTCTGTGAGTTCGAGGCCAGCCTGGTCTATATAGCAAGTTCCAGGACAGCCAGAGCTACACAGAGAAACCCTGCCTTACCAAAAAAAAAAAAAAAAAAAAGGAGGAAGGAAGAAAGAAGGTCAAAGTCCCCAGAGCTTCATGGAAAGACACTCATCTTTACAGAGGATCAGTGACCTCCACACCTCAGACCATCAGAAGAAAGCTTACAGCCAGGCTTGGCAGTTCATCTTTAACCCCAGAGACTCGAGAGGCTGAGGCTGGAGGATGGCAAGTTCAAGGCTTGCCAGGGCTACAGAGTGAGTTCAAGGTAAACATCTTACAAAGACCCCTGTCTCGACACGAAAAGCCAAAGACAAAACAGCAGCAAATGAAGCCTGAAGATAGAACTCACTGGTGGTGTCTATGACTGTCATGGGCAGGTGCCCTGGTTCCACCCCCAGTACCCGGTGCAGGGGTAGGAAGTGTTTTGGAATCTACAGTCCTGAGTGCTGTTTGTTTTAGGGATGGTTTTTATTCTTCTATGTGGTTTCTAGAATTTATTGTTTATGATCCTTCTAAGGCTAGCTCTTTGCCAGCTAACTACATGTACAGATTTATTTTGTTTGTTTGTTTGTTGTTTGTTTTGTTGGGAGGGTGCACATATGTGTGACCAGCACACATGTAGAGATCAGAGGAAAACCTTCAAGAGTAGATTCTGTCCTTCCCCTGTGGGGGGAGGGGGTTCCAAGGGCATCAGGCTTAGTGGCAGGCAAGGCTCCTTATCCCGTTAACTATTTTGACTTTTGATTGAATGGTCCTGATTAAGGATGCCTGTCCTAGGATGTCTGTCCTAGGATGTCTGTCCTGTTGGCTTTCTGGAACTTCCAGATCCAAGCTGGAATGGCTACCCACTACACCTGTCCTAGGATGTCTGTCCTGTTGGCTTTCTGTTGCTGTGATAAACTCCACGACCAACAACACCTTGGGGAAGAAAGGGTTTATTTCATCTTACAACTCTCAGGTCACACTCCATCACTGATGGAAGTCAGGGCAGGAACTCAGACAGGGCAGGAACCTGGAGGCAGGAGCTGATGCAGAGGCCATGGAGTGGAGCTGCCGACTGGCTTGCTCAGGCTGCTTTCTTATAGAACCTAGGACCAGCAGCCTGTGGATGGCTCCACCCACAGTGGGCAGGCCCTAACACATTACTCATTGATCAAGAAAATGTGCCACGGACTTGTCTTCAGGCAGTTTGTCAGTTGAAGTTTCTTCTTCCCGGTGATCCTAGCTTGTGTCAAGGTGACAAAAACCTAACCCGCAGAATACCCGTTTTATACAAACCTATCATAAGTGAAGACTCTTTATGAAAAAAGTTAAGGCTTACTTCAAAGCCGTAGCTTTGGCTCGAGGTCAACATTCCACACTATAAAATTATAGAAAAGATCCCTTGTCATTTTAAAATTTTTATTATTTATTTTTATTTCATGGATCTGAGCATTTTATGTATTGTCTGCATGTATGTATTTATGTACCATGTGCATGCAGTACACATGGAAGCCAGAAGATGGTGTCTGACCCTCCTGGAACTGGAGTTGCAGGCCATGATGGGGGATGGGAACTGAACCAGGTCCTCTGCAAAAGCAGCAAGGGGCTCTTATATACCTCCCCCCAACCCCTGGCTCTTCTACACCTCCCCCCAACCCCTGGTCATTTTTTTTTCTTTTTCTTGCTTTTTTTTTTTTTTTTCATTTTTTTTCTTCTTAAGTATCTGAGCCATTTGTGTGTAGTGTTCCTTTCTAAATTTGTTCTGGGTAACAGGAAGTCTTAACCAACCAGGGAATAACGGGAGGTTTACACAGGATGACAGTTTAGATGAAATTTCACAGACACGTGGAAGCCTCCGAGCTTGGGAGGGGAGTGAATCCAAGAGCAGGAAGTGCAAAGGCCCTGGGGCAGGAGGAGCATTACAGGTCAGGGAAGAGGGCAAAGGTCGAGGAGGTCGGAGCCGGGAACGTGGGTGCTCATCAGACTGGGAGGACGTCAGGTTCTGGGGACCAGGAAGTTTAAGGAAATGGGCGATATCCGATAAAGGAAGCCATTTGCCTCCGTACTAGCTGGACTCTTTGGATTACAGGCAAAGGGTCACGTGTGTAAAGTGTAGGAAAGGGAGGACTGGACTGGGAAGATGGTTCAGTGGGTAAAGGTGTTTGTTGCCACACCTGATGACCTGAGTTCAGTCCCCAGGAGAGGAGAGACTCAACTCTCGCATGTTGTCTCCTGACCTACGTCCTGGGAACATGTGCAGCTACAGGTCAGGGAGGCATAAAGTAAATAAAAATGTAAAAAAAAAAAAAAAACAAAGCTTTTGTATCGGTCCGTGGGTGCTCACAGGCGCCGGCTGTCTCTCTACCACCTGTTGGGGTCCCATGAGTAGAGCGTACCAGGGAGGCACTAGACTGGATCTGGCGCTGCGGGAGCTCTAGCTCAGCGGGCGTGCACAGTGGGGAAGGGGTCCACCGGGGAGTGGCCTCTCCTGCCTTCGTTTCCACAGTCTGAGAAGCAGCAGCCTCACACCCGCCCCAGCAAGGGGAAGGGCTGCTTTTTCTGCATTACAGTAGGGATATGCAGTCTACCTGAGATTTCCCTGTGATGGGATTTTTCAAGAAGCCCTCCTCAAGTTGGTTCCCTGCCCATGCTGATGGACAGCAGCCGCACTACCACGCGGTCAGATATTTGGGTGCCTGGTTACAGTTTCCAGGAAGCAGAGCCAAGGCAGAATTTTTCTTTTTTTGTTTGCTTGTTTATTAGTATTTATGCATGTGTGTGTGGCTCGATGACTGTGTAGCATGTGCATTCAGGTGCCTCAGAGACCAGAAGAGGGTGTCAGAGTCCCTGGAGCCAGAGCTACAGGTGGCTACCATCTTGGAAGATGACCATCTTATGAAGCTCACCTTTTAAAAATTCTTATATGTGCATGGATTACACTTTCACCATTCATGTATGCACGTGTATCTACACACATGCCAATGATTCTCAGGCTCACCACGGAACATTAGAACTATGATTTCCAATACTCCTAGCTGTTTATAATACAATTGAAAAACTCAAAATTTAAAAGATATTTACTGACCAAGAGAATATTTGTGTCAGCTACTTCAAGTAATTTATCATTTCTTTAATATACCCTGCCCTTACATTCTCTTAATTACTTTTTATATGCAAAGTAATGGATTTTATTATGGCATTTCCACCCATATGTGTCACTACTATATTCTGTTCTTTTGTGTCCCATGTAAAACCTAAGTCTAAAGTTGTGTATGTGTGTGTGTGTGATATGTGCAGGTCATGAGTGTAAACTCATTTCTATGACATTTAGTATGCATGTCTGTGTGTGCATGTGCACACGTGCACTGCACACCAGAGCACTTATGTGGAGGTCAAAGGACAGATTTCTGTCCATTCTGTCCTTCCACCGTGTGGCTCCCAGGGCTAGAACTCAGGTCATCAGACTTAACAGCAAGTGCCTTTACCTGCCCGGCCATCTCACCAGCCCTGTTGCCATCTTTGAAAACCAAAGGACAGCTTTCCCCAGTTTGTTTGGCAGGAAGAAAAGTCCTTGAGGGGCTTGAGCTTCCTAGGTACATTTTGCTCCCATGGCCTGTGGTTATTTCTGCCCGACAGAGGGCCAGGTTCACTGCTGCTTCCACTTACACTCAGCAAAGAGAACCTGATGGTGCGGACGAGGGGCTAGGAGCATCCTGCAGTCGTGTCCCTGTCCTCCGTCCTTGCCACCTTCCCTCCCTGACTCTCTAGTTCAGACCCAGGATTCCCCTCCAGCTCCATCGAGCAGCCTCAGAAACCAGGCCTGGTGGCTCACACCTTTAATCCCCGTCCTGGGGAGGCTGAGACTGCTGGATCTCTGAGTTCGAAGCCAGCTCGGTTTACAGATCCAGTTCCACATCAGCACGAGCTGCATGGAGAGAGCCTGTCTCAACAAAACCAAAGTGATATGTTGAAGGGAGCAGACGAGGGGCAGTGAGTTTGCTGGCCCCTCGTCCACAGACAGGTCGGTGAGGGTGTCTGTAGAGGCTCCAGTCAGAGAAAAGCTGCTTCAGGTCATACCCGTGGGCTGTGTCGGGTGTGCGCCACCATTTGACAGCTTCCCTGTAAACAGAGTAGCGGGCTTTGAGGAAGCACCAATACGAATTCTGTTAAGTAACCCAAGAGAAAATGCCATTTCCTCATCATCTCCTCAGACTGCTCCTTTTGAGTTTATTGAGCCATGGCCCCCCAGACAAAGTGCCACAACCACAGGCCAAGTCCCGGGGAGACAGGGTTTGTCCAAGCCCACAGTCCCGGGCAGCTATCACAGTGAACCGGGAAAAGTGAGCCCAGTCCACAGGCAGTCAAGAAGGACCCAAATCACTGCCGAGTTCATATACGTTCTAGACATGTGACCACGAGGCAGGTCTGTCTGGGAGGAAGCTTCTGTCTAAATAAAAGCAGTGTCTTCGGGGTGCTGATTCAGTCCCATTCACGAAGTGCTTACCAGTATGCACAGGGCCTCAGGTTCCATCACCAGCACACACCTGTAACCCTGGAATTGGGAGAGCAGAGACAGCAGACTCCCAGGGGTTTGCCGGCCAGCCCATCCGAGCTCCCAGTTCAGTGAGAGACCCTGCCTCAAAACACAAGGTCGGAAACAATAGAGGAAGACGCCACTGTTGACCTCTGACCTACACATGTGCTGACACACATACACAGTAATGCCAGGACATAAGTTTGTGCCTCTCGCGTGATATATTTCACTCTATGATATAAAAATGTAATTCTTTTTTATCCTGTCACCTGCCTGTCATTTTAGTACTCAGGAGGCTGAGGCAGGAGGATTGCAGATTCAAGCCAGCCTGAGCTACAAAGCAAGGCCCCTGTTTCCAAAAAAAAAAAAAATTATTTTTTTGAATAAAAAATACAATTTAAAGAAAAGCAAATTTATTGTGCATACTGTAAGAGGGTGCTGAGCAAGTATTAGTTGGAGGTCTGCCCACAGAGTGACATCAGTTTTTTAATCTGAGGAAATATTTCTGGTGCGTTTTAACCATGAGCACACAAGTAGATTTGCCAGATTAAAATACACGGGCTTACCATGGGCCCCTAATCCCAAAGACGTTTCAAAAGACTATATCAAGTGTTGTTGGACAACAATATTTCATTACTTTTTATTTAGTGTGCGTGCACAATGTGTGTATACGTGCGCCACAGTGTCCCTGTGGAGGGCAGAGGACAACCCACAGGAGTCAGTGAAATGCAAGTTTTGAGACTGGGTAGCAAGTACCACTACCCACTAAGCCTTTCTCCTCAGCCCTGATAATAATGTTTTGTTTTTTTGTTTGTTTGTTTCCGGAGCTGAGGACCGAACCCAGGGCCTTGTGCTTGTTAGGCAAATGCTCTACCACTGAGCTAAACCCTCAGCCCCCCCCCATAATAATCTTTTAAAGGTAAATTGCCAATTAAAAAAAAAGAAAGGAAAGAAAAGAAAAATAGCTGGGTGGTGGTGGTACACACCTTTAATCCCAGCACTTCACCCACCAAGGCAGAGGCAGGTGGATCTCTGTGAGTTCGAGGCCATTGAGGTCTGCAGAGCTCCAGCACACCCAAGGCTACACAAAGAAACCCTATCTCCAAAACCCAAAAACTAAAATAAAATAGAATAAAACTAAAAAGTTGTTCTACTTAAAAAAAAAAAAAAAAAAGGCAAATTACCACCAAGACACATATTTGGTCTTGGTAAAGTGTAGCCTGGTGTTTGCTCTTCATCTCATAGAAACATTCTTCAGAGATGTCAGCCCTCTGTTCCTCGTGGGCAGAGAGCAGGCTCTTACTGCTATTGTGATAACTGACCCTCTCCACGGCTACTTCTAAATCGTGCCCAGCCCACAATCTGTGAGCACCATATACAGCGGTTAAACTCTGAGGGTCTGTGACTTGAAGGGACAATGTTCAACGAAGGTGACAGACATATCCTTGTGTTTGGGCTTCACATCTCAGGCCACATCCCCCTTATTTTTAAGTAGCTCATTAAGCTGATTTGGAAACTTCAGCCTTTTTTAATCCAGTGAGATTGAGTGTCTACAAATTTATTTCTTGGGCCTGGGAATGTCATTCAGTGTTAGCGAATGGTTGCCCCAAAAGACAAAATACAAGTAAGCCGGATATGGTGGCCACCCCTTTAATCCCAGCACTCAGCAGAGACAGATGGAGCTCTGTGAGTTCCAGGCCAGCCAGGCTACGGTAACAAGACCTTGTCTCCAAAGAAGTCAATAAGTAAAATGTAAAGCAAGCAGACTTCCTTTCCTGCTACCCCTGGAATGGGTGTGTCCACTGTTAGAATGACTCACAGCCCGATCATTTGCTTCTCTAGTACTAGACCTGAGTTCAGTACCCGGGGCCTACATTGTAGAAGGGGAGAGCTAACTCCTGAAGTTGTCCCTGACCTTACACACATGCCATAGCATGTGTGTGTATATGTATGTATGTATGTGTGTGTATACATATGTATATATGTATATATATGTATACACACACACATACATGCACAAACATACATCAATAAATGTAATTCTTAAACAAGAAAAAAGGGTAAAGCAAAGACTCACATTATTCATTTTATCAGTTGTATTTAAAGTAAGTTAAAAGTTTGGTCCTCATCTTTGAACTAATTGCTAAAGTGGTATCTTGGCTTTTTTTTTCTTTTTCTAAGACAGGTTTCACACTGTGTGTAGCATTTTTAATATATACTTTAGTGAGTTATTTAATGTGTCAATAACAATCAAAAGTGATGTCAGATTTTAGCTTTCTAAATGTATTCCACTGTCTATACATCTAACACAATAAAAATACCAGTAACTTTTAATTTAATCATTAAATCACCTAAACCTAAAATAGTCATCATTTTGCTTGTTTGGTTGGGGTTTTCTTTCTTCGTTGTTGGTTTTGTTTTTTGAGGCAGAGGCTTACTAACGTAGCCCAGGCTGGCCCCAGACTGCTCTGTTTCCTCGGCCTCCTGAGTACTGGGATTGTAGACATACATTACCACACCCTGGGTTCTAGTTTTTTATTACATATGGATGTGTATGATGTGAGCACTGTGGCTTCTGGTGCCACTGGCCTTCTTTGCACGTGAAGTCACCACCACTTGAAGGGTGACTGCTGCTGCCCCTTACCCCACGTCCTCTCTCGATGGCCCTGCTTACATCTCACTAAAGTCACGGCTCGGAGCCGCAGATTTTGTGTCTCTGACGAGGCTGGCATTGAAAAGTTTCACGCTTTTCTGATCCTGTCGTGTTAAGTAAGTTCAGTTTTAGATGTGGTGAGATTTCATTAGTAAATACAGGATGATGAGAGAGGGGCCTTGCAAGAAGCCCAGGCCCACTGCAGGGTCGCCGTCACACGCCAAGCTCGTTTGTCTATGTGCCGCAAGTTCAGACCTCCTGGGAAGTAATACAAATTTAAAAGGATCCTTCAAACATTTTTTTCCTAAGTTTCAAAATACCTATGTTAAAGAATTTTTTTTTTTAAATTATTTCAGGAGTGGGGCGAGGCTCTCACTGTTCTGCCCACAGTGACCTCAAATCTGCAATTTTTCCTACCTCCTGGGTGCTTCAAAGTGCAGGTGTATCTTAGGGGGTGCTGATTATAGGTGTCCACAACCTCACCCAGCATAAGTAATGCATTGTTTATTTGTTTATTTATTTATTATTATTGTAGCTTTACATCAAGACCTGGTTATAACGTTTCATTTCCCTCAAAAAAAAAAGTCTACATATTTTTTTTGACAATTTCAGATAAATGATATGGTTTTGTATATTCTGAATCTCTTTGGTCCTTGCTTTGTAATGAAGGGGAGGGCAATTATATGTTTTTTAAAAATTTTCAGGTACTCTTGGAGAAAATGCAAACAAATGGTTTCTCCTAGAACCCTGGGGAATAAGAAATTGATTTCTCCTTCCCCATCTGAGCATGTGCTATTTAAAAATCCCCCACTGTTGAACATGGTTTTGAGCTACAAATTGCCAGAGTACTGTTGGGGGTGGGGTGGGGGGCTGTTTTTAATTTTCTAAAGGTTAACATCCCAACTGACTGAATGACCAGCTCATCTTGTACAGAGGGGGCATGGTCCTCTGAAAACATTTTTTCCTTTAAAAGTCATTTCAGTTGCATTTAAGGAACATCCATTATCATCTGTCCAGGGCATGTTATTTTTTTTTTCTTTCCACGGAGCATTAGAATGAGATTAATCATCTTTGGCCATCAAGAAAGCACAGGACTCGATTAAATCAGTCAAGGACATTAAATACCAGCCTCGCTGAGTCTGCTGGCATACCGATGCCGAGTTGAGGGACCGTTTGTGAAAGTATCATTTGGTTTGGAATTGTACGCCTGTCTCTTTAAATCTAAAAAAAAAAAAAAAAAAAAAAATCCTTTCAGAAGCTGTAGAGAGAAGGTGCTAGAACTGTGTACGATCATGACTGGAAAGCAGGATCCCTCAGTGACTGCCGAATCTTCCCAGCACAAGACAGAGAGGCGGCTGGCCACAAGCCTCCCCTGATCCCCCCACCCCACCCCCCAGAAGAAGGATGACCCCACCGACCAGCTCACAGATCCAATTCAATTGACAACGCAGCTCTTTCAAGGGAATGAGGCGGAGGCTCGCTTTTATGTTAAAAGCCACCAGCATCCTCCCCGCCAGACACGGACATGACATTTTTAAAGGAATTATCTGGTCACCGCGTTTTAGGCAGACCGTGCTGAAGCGTCGTCCGGCCGCGCCATTCTCTTCTCTCCCCTTCCTTTTTGCGTTTGCATCTATGTGATTCCGGAGGTAAAAGGGGGGAAAAAAAGCCTGCCAGGGAGTCAGAAGGCATCCCACGAGCGATCAGCTGACATTCCTAACCGAAGGCTGCAATGTGTTGCTTATTCATTTTATACCGTGGGAGCTGCGGGGACTAGAGAAGCTGAACTATGCATTTCAAACAGCGGTGCTTGTTCAGAAAGAGGGGTGAGAGAGAGGCAGCCGGCGAGGAAAGAGCGCAGCTGGACTTCCTCCTTCTCTTCATCCATTTCTGCAGGATCATGTATTCGTAAGGGATGAGGCGGGCCACGGCGATCCCAGGCCTGAGCCGCGGCCTACCCAGTCAGTTCAGAGCCAGGCCCTCCACTATCGGAACCGAGAGCGCTTTGCCACGATCAAATCCGCCTCTTTGGTAAGCCGATGCTGCTCTCCCCACCTTCCTTGCCTTCCCCTCCTCCCTGTCTGGCAGCCTCTGGCCCTCCCTGAGCCTCCCTCGGCTTCATGGATGGGAGGAAAAGCAGCCAGGGATGTTGTCTCCCTCCAAATAATTTTATTCATTTTAGGGGGGGAAGAAATCTGTTGGCATAGCAACCTGATCTGAGATATTTAGCATTGTCTATGGCATAGAAAAAAAAAAAAGCCTCTGTGGTGTGTGTGTGTGTGTGTGTGTGTGTGTGTGTGTGTGTGTGTGTGTGTGCTGTATATGTAAAATATAAGGTTTGGGGATGAGTTGCTGGCATGACCAATTTTTTTTTTAAAGCGATCTGTGTTTTAATCAAAATAAATAATTCTAAAAATATTTTTTAAGATATGGATGTGTGTAGGGCACTATGCTTCTTTTTATATAGGTGCATGTGTGTCTCTATGATACACATACATACACACACACACACACACACACACACCCCAAAAGGTAAAACACAATTTAAAAAAATATGTATATATGGTTGCCGGCTACCATCTGTAATTGTAGAAAAATCAGACACTTGCTTCCCAGGGACAGTCCACTGGTTCGTTCTGGTTCATTCATTTATTTATTGCAATGGTGGTAGTGGCCGAGCTTCCCCCATTTAACCCCTGAAGAATTTCCTGAGAGCCATAAAGCGAGGAGGGCTTTGTAGGGGAGGCTGGCAGCAGCTGTGGGAGCCGAGGGGCTGTCGGATTCCTCAGCATTTTTACTACTGCGAATGTGATTGCCGGGTGCCCTTGTAGTAGCAAAAGGGGTGTGCGCAGGAAGACTTAGTTTTCATGCCTCCTCCCCTCGGCCCCCCACGCGTGCGCGTGCGCGCTCACACACACACACACACACACACACACACACACACACACACACACACGGTCTCTCCCTCTCTCTCTCCCCATTTCATCCTTAGCCTTTGGAACTCTCTTTCAGCCATTCCACCTGAATCGCACTTCTCCGGCAGGAAAATGATTGAAATATTAGTTGTTTTGCCCAAATGGATGTTAGAGGTCACATGAGCGGGAAGAGTTACTGTACACTGCTTGGCCGTTACATCCAGAACCCATGATGACATCATCTGAGGCCGACCCAGAAATAATCGGTTTTTTCTTGTCCTATTTTTCAAACCTGATTTCTACTTTTATCCCCCCCACCCCCACCCCACCAAGTCCTTTTTTAAAGGCCCCAGTGATGTTTGAGATTTGGAAGGCATTATAATCTTTGAAAGAGCAAATGGGAGGAAAATGGAGACGATCGCGGCAGTCTATTGCTCATGCCCACTCCATGTCAGGAAAAAAAAAAAAAAATCACACAGTTTAACGTAGTCTGTTCATAAAGAATCCCACTCCCGAGTTCTTTGATGCTGAAGTTTCTTGTAACCTCTTTAATGGGCAATTTTTCATCTGAAAGGAACACCCTGCCGTGTGACGGAGATCTCAAAATGTCCACTCTGTGGCTGCTAATGCTTGGCAAGCATCTCCCAAAACACGCCTGCGAATCCGCTAGAACATGGTGGGGCTGTCCGTAGTTGCCTCCGTGCCACAGTGTCTGACAAGAAAGCTGTGACTACTCACCACAGGCTCCCGTGGGGCTCGTCCCTTGAACCCCCACCTGCTCTCCGAGGAGTGGGAAGAGAGGCCATGGGGAGCCCTCGCAGCAGGGGCAGGCTGCAGGGAGGTGAACCCCAGCCCCAGCAGTTCCCCCCATTGTGGGACAGGTTCTCTGCTTCCCCTCAAGCCACGCCCTCCTTCCCACATCATATATTCATGACTCTCTCCTCCCGCCCTTCATTACTACAGCCATGCTGGTGTAGTCTCATGCCGGCCTCTGAAAACTCCCTCCGGGGCGGCTCAGCGTGGGCTCCAGCCACCACAGCCGCCGCCTCAGTGGCTAATAGAAGCTGCTCCCCTGCCAGGCCACTTCAGGCTATGAGCAGAGAGCCCTTGGAAGCCTCCCTGGATGCTCCAAGCTTCAGAGTAACCCACCCCACCCCACCCCACCCCACCCCCCAGTGCAGGAAACTGCTGTGGTCCATCCCTCCGGTGGAATTCTGATGTGTCAAAAGGTCTCCGTTCCAATCCTGACCTAGAGACCCAGAAGCCTGGGTTTGGGTGGGGCGGCAGCTGGCGCTCTAGGCACAGAGACCAGCGGCATCCCCTCTCCAGAAGGGATGCTGTCCGAGTCATGATGGTATCCTTGGAAGTTCTTCTGAGTAGCTGGCAAATTTTGAGGGAGACAAATAAAGGAATGAAGGGAAGAATGGAGCGTGGCGTTGGATGGTTGTGTCTGTGTCCCATTTGGGGCCATCTAACTATTGCCACGGCTATGTTCATGTATATTATCAAGTCCTTCAGTCCTGCCCCTCACCACATGGTCTCAGACACTCAACCCAAGGACTGCCCAAGCCAAGACACTAGAATAGTGGAAAGAAGTGTGCGATTTTAGAAAATGGATCACACATCCTATTTTTTTCCCCATAGATCCCAGTTCAAGTGAAAAGGACTAAGGTAGTGTGAATAGCATTTCATTAAGCGCAGGGTCATGGGACAGCAGGGATCCTCTCATCGGTAGTCAAGCCACTGATCAAATTGACAGTCAAGGGCAATACTAGACTGATGGGTTGGTGTGTCAACCATGGGTTCATCGGTTGGATTGGATCGTACTCTTTCTCCGTGGCTTCCCTCTGGTGGCTGCTGACCAGTCACCGAGATCTGGAGGTGACCAGGCAAAGAGCACAGACAGAAACACACAAGCTCACTCTTCCATTGTACGCTCAGTATGTGCTGAGAACGTCTTTCACTTGACTTGCCAACCCACGCCCACACTTACCACTTCTCAGATGCGTCTCACGAACCCACCTTTTCCACGCAAACCTAAAGGAGGCCCTCGCTGGACACCGCCTCCTCTCACTCAGTATGGCTCTCTCTGTTGTGTCTCTGAATGAGGTGTGTGGTGGCCATGAGCTGTGGGCCCTTGTTCCTGGGTGTGTGGTGGCCATGAGCCGTGGGCTCTTGCTCCTGGATGTGTGGTGGCCATGAGCCGTGGGCTCTTGCTCCTGGGTGTGTGGTGGCCATGAGCCGTGGGCTCTTGCTCCTGGGTGTGTGGTGGTCATAAGCTGTGTGCTCATGCTCTTGGGAGTGTGGTGGCCATGAGCCGTGGGCTCTTGCTCCTGGGGGTGTGGTTCTCTGGGCACCTTAAAACAGAGTGTTCTGGGTTCCACACACTGCTCTTCTGTTGCTTGTGGGACAAGGGAGAAGCAAGCCGTGGTGGGGCTTTAGAACACAGCTTCTTCTTTCGTGCCTCCCGTGAGCAGCCTTTCCCAGCCTCGTGTAGACCTCGGAGAAGGAAAGGAACGTCATGGCCTTTCTCTGCCTTTCTCCGACCCTCCGTGAGAAAGTGTGGTTTGAGCTGGTCTGTTGTCTAGAAGAGAGCCGTTTATGTCGTTCTTCAGAACTGTCTCTCCGGGTCCTTGGCCCTTGGAGGGGGACCCTCCTTGGGTCTTACTGCCGGTGAACGGCACGCCCAGTGTTTGCGTTCTGCGACTGACCCATGAGAGCGATTCTGGCTGTTTGGGTATGTGAAGTCACTTCTTCAAATGTTGCCATGTTCTGGGTCCCTGGCAGCTTCTGTAGCAGACGGTGTCATAAAGAGCATCAGGGTCACCCGTGTCTACCGGATGGCTCATTCGTTGCCTCCTACAGGAAGGCTCTTTGGAAAGGAATGGTCTGGCCACACAAGCGAGTTTGTAACAGACCACGCATTAGGGGGAGAGCATGAGAGGAAAGTCTGGTTTAAGCTCCTCAGAAAAACATGGAAGAGAAACCGTTGTTCCGTCCCTGTCCTGCTGGTTCTCTCACTTGGCCTCATCAGACTGAGAGGAAAAATCCCTAGGAGGTGGGGAGGGATCTGCATCTGGAATGTTTGAGGCGCTGTCTAGCTGTTGAACTCATCTCAATGAGTGCGGCCCACTCCTGTGGCGCCTCTCAGGAGCCAGCGCTAAGCTAAGTTCGAAAATGTCTCCTTCAGGACGGTGCACCAGAGGATGCCTTATCGATGTGCCGCAAATCTCAGGCCTAGGAGGACGACTCAGCCAGTGAGGTTCAGATTCCCTGCACCCATGCGGCCAGCCACCTGTGACTCTGTGCCACCAGTTCTCAGGCGGGGGCGGGGCAGGGCAGGGGCAAGAGTAGGTACGGGCCGGGCCGATCCCTGGAGCTCAGTGGCCAGCCAGCCGAGCTGAATTCATGTGTTCATCCCCCGCCCCCCAAAAAAATAAGGTGGAGAACATGGAGAGTGACACCCACATGTTGATCCCTGGCCTCTGTACACATGTACACACCCAGATGGACATGTACATATCACACATGCGTGCACACACATGAATATTACATACTTCTTTCCCATTGCCTGCCTGCTTAACTCACTATTTGATCCCAGTTTCCTTTACCTGTGCTGTCTGTCAATCAATACGTCCAACCCACATGGCCACTCCCTCAGGAAACACATAGTTGAATGAGTGACGTCCCCACAGCCACTGCCACATGAGGATTGGGATCGAGAAGTGTGCGTTTTAGCTGGGTGTCGTAGTGCAACCTGTGGTGCCCCTACACGGGAAACAGAGTCGGGAAGAGCTCGAGTTCAAGACCAGCCTGGGCTACATAAGGAGATCCTAGCTCCCGTTTTTTTCAAAAAAACAATGAGTGTCACTTAGTGTGTGTGTATGTGTGTGTGTGTGTGTGTGTGTGTGTGTGTGTGAGAGAGAGAGACAGAGAGAGACAGAGAGAGAGAGAGAGAGACAGAGACAGAACGCAGAAATCTCCTGGTATCCCTCAGCTGTTAGTGGAGAACTTAAAACACCTTTCCTTTGGGTGTTCTGAAGGGCATCTTGTCAAGGCTCCGCAGCCAACCCGAGGCACTCACCATATTCTCTCTGAGAACTTGCTGGCGGGTGA